GAAGGTTTCAGACGAGGCTGATTTAAAAATTTTCAACTGTTGCTGTTATCCTTGATTTTCTGTCTATCTTTGAAAAATGGATACCCGAAACACAGGGCCAACTTAAGGCAATGTTTCGGATAATGGCTCTCTGGGATACAAGGCTCAGTTAAGGCAATATCCCAGAATTGTCCATGGACTCATGTCTTTGGAGAACAAGTCTTACTGAAGTTTGACTTCAGCTGAAAGACCGGTGTTCTTTAAAAAGACAGGTTTTGTCAGCAATCTGAAACCCAGTTACCCGAAGGCGAAGGCTTCAGACGAGGCTGAATAAAAAACCCTCAAAGAGTAGATAGAACAAAGAAAATTTTGAAAGGATAAAAAGTTGTAAATTTTATATAAATGGCGGCTCCAAGGCCTGTCATTAGTTCAAAATGTACTTACAAAGATTGTTCTGCCCCGAAGGGTTTACACACGATATTTTTTCAGTACATCAGCATTCCAGTGATTCTTCAACTCAGTTCCATCCAACTGCCGAAGTCGGTATGTCCCTGGCTGAAGCTCATCATAAATTTCATAAGGTCCCTCCCATGTAGCTGAGAGCTTCCCATGGATTCGGCCTTTCTGAACTGCAGCAGCATTCCGAAGGACAAGATCCCCAATTTTGAGAGGCCTTGCATGGACCCTTCGGTTATGGGAGATGAGGTCTGAACTTATCCCGGGCATATCAGCTGCCGAGAAAGCAAACACATCTCTGTTATCCCGCAGGAGCTGAATAAGTTCACAACGGGTGTTAGGATCAAGGTCCATCCCGATTGTTACACATTTCTCAGCATCTCCTTCGGCCAACTCTGCTGTTTCAGTCTGTTGGTCCATGTCCATTGCCGATGGACTGGACTCTTCAGAATCTGGTCTGCTGCCAATGTCAGCAGGTGTCCCAGTCTTTGTGTTCTTCGGCTGGCTCTCTGAGTCTTTCGGCTCAGATGAAGAGTCAACCTTTTCCCTTTCGGGACCTTTTTCTCTGGGCACTGATCCTTGGGCCGAAGCACTTAGGCCTTTCGGCTTTTTTGTGCTTGGCTCTCTTTCTTTTTCTTTCTCCTCCTCATCCTTGTCGTTATCTGGGCGACTACTGGATGGCTTGAGGTAGTTGCACCTTCGGGCGTCCTTCTGGTTGCCCTGTATCCTTTCGGGGAAGCCGGCGTCTGAGACGTAAATCATCAGCTGATGATAAGTTGAGACGACCCCTTGGATCTCGTGAATTATGGGTCTCCCCAAAATCACGTTGTACACTGAAGGAGCGTCGATGACCAAAAACTCAATCATGACGTTCCGGGCTGCCTCATCGCAACCGATGGTGACAGGAAGTGTCACCTTCCCATCTGGATAAGTTGAAGCCCCATTGAACCCGGATACCGGATAGGGTACCGGCGTAAGGTGCTTGGGCTTCAGCTTAATTTGGTTGTAGGCCTTTCGGAACAGAATGTTTGCTCCGCTGCCACCGTCAACAAGGACCTTACTGACGTCGTGGTTGGCCACCGTGGCGATGATCACCAACGGATCCTCGTGAGGGAACGTAATCCCCCGGCAGTCGGCGGCTGTGAACGTCATGTTCGGCACCGGCGACTGGGGAGATTGAATGTCAGCGTTGTTCACCTGGTGAGTCAAAGCTCTAAGGTGACGCCTGTGCTCCCTCCGAGAGTATATTCCTCCCGAGATAACATTGATCGGAGGGAATTTGCCCTCCGGTTTTTTACTGTTTTTCCGGGGGAAATCAAGGTCCTGCCGAGGGTCCTTTGCTAGCCTCTCGGATTCTTTTTTCTCGCGATGATCCGCGATGTATTTTTTCAAGTATCCCTTCCGGACCATGTCTTCTATCTGGTCCTTCAGCTGGATACACTCCTCAGTGTTGTGGCCCGAAGACTCGTGGAACTCACACCACTGATTTTTATTTTTTCGCTGATACCACTCTGGGAGTGGTCTCGGCTTTCGGTAACTCTGCTCCTCCTTCGTCACACTGTAAATTTTGGCGCGTGGAAGAGAGAGCGGAGTGTAGGACTCGTATCTGCCTGTGTATGAGGCAAACCTGTCCTTCTTTAGGTCGCTGGCCGAAGATGGCTCCGAGGCCTTTGATTTTCCCTTTGCCTTATGGCCTTGGCCTTCAGACAAGGGTATTTGCCTCTGTTTCCCTCCCCCGGATTGAGGTTGGGTTTTTGCTTTATTCCATTCTTCGGCTCGGATGAACTTATCCGAAGCACTAAGAGCTTCCTCCAAGGTCTGCGGGGTATGCATGACCATGAAGTCTAGGAATTTTCCTGGCTGAAGGCCATTCTGCATTGCAAAAACAGCTAGCCCCTGGTCCAGCTGAGAGACGCTTGATGACTCGTTACTGAAACGGGTCAGGTAGTCTCGGAGGCTTTCGGTTTCCCCCTGTTGCAGACCCATGAGCTCTGCGGTAGTCTTCTCTCGGTGGTTTGCCGTGGAAAACTTGCTCCTGAACTTGGAGGACAGATCATCCCAACCTGTTATGGAGCCTTGCCTTACTCCCTTGGAGATCCACGCTTGCGCGACCCCCTTGAGAGTGGTTGGGAAATATTTGCACCAAGTCGCCTCGGATCTGGGGCAAAGATGCATATGAGTCTCATACGAGGCCACGTGGTCCTTCGGATCCGTGGTCCCGTCATATGTGATATGCGACGGTATTTTAACCGTGGGTACGCGCTCTTCCAGTATCCATTGCTCGAATGGTGAACTAGCGGGAAGCATAATGGCCTTGCCCTTGTTCCTGGCCGAAGGGACCGCGCTCCGCCCTCTTAGAGAGGTAGGAGTGGTTTTCGTCCCTGGCTGGGAAGTCTGGGCCTCGGCTGCAGGGAACGAGAGGCGACTACGCACGCTCGGTTCCTGGCCGCCGAGTCGGTCAAGGACGCTTCTGCGAGCAGTCTCGGGTTCCCGGCGAGTAGATTCTGGCCGAGAAGCTGAGCTGCCGCTCTTATGCGCTGCTGGTCTTGAGGATGAGGATCCTTTAAATAATTGAGAGTTCTTCTTCCTCTGTTTTTCATTTTTCCAAGAATCCTCCTCCCACTCTTCCAGTTCCCGGAAGGAAGGAAGCTTCCCACCGTCATGGTCTAACTTCCTCCGCTGATGCCGGGTATGCGGAGGAGTTCGATCACGAGGCGGTGGCATATTCTGTGCCCTCATTGCCTCCATGAGTACTGCCAGCGCTCTTGCCACCTCTTCCGAACTGGGCCCCGTCAAAGGGGTCCCCGGCCGAGTGTGGGCATGAGGCCGTGCAGCCGATGGTTGGCTTCGGGACACCGAATATGTCCTATGATCAGACTGACCCCTGCTAGACCGAGAGTGGTCCGGCCTATATTGGGAGTCATGCATTATAGGAGATAGGGAATCCTCCTTGTGTGATCCTCCCCCCGAGCCGGCACCCTTGGGAGAGTTCCGGTCCGGCGAGGGCGATGGTGTAGGGGTTTTAGGCTTTTCGCCCGCTCCTTGACGGAGGCTTTTGCTCTTGCGGTTCTTAGCCATGGCTGCTAAGATAATTGCAAGATGATCTTGGTTAGGAATTTGGCTTAAAGATTTTTGAAAGTCTTCCCCACAGACGGCGCCAAATTGTTTCGGTTGAAAACAATGGGACCTTGCCGAAGGTCCACTGAAATGGAGAAGACTGGATTCGATCCAAGCTGTGTTGGGCCGAAGGTTTCCTGCACAGTGAACACACGTAAACTAGCCTCGGGGGTGTTTCCGAGGAAGGCCCCTCCGATGCTAAAGTCAGTACAATGTGTAAAAAGGAAGACACTATGCAAGAGAGTTTGTAGCTTGAGGCTTTTGTGGAGTATTTCTCAATGCAAGAATGAGCATATGAATTGGAATAATCCGTGTATGAGATAATGTATGTGATAATGTATCTGATCTCTCCTTGAATGTGTTAATATGAGGGCTTTTATACCTCATCATACTTGGAGAGGTTGGGCTTTAGCCCAATTGGCTTACTTTGTGGGCTGACTTTTGACTTTTGAGCAATTGGAGAGTTGAACCTTGACCTTGGGCTTTTAATTGGATCATTTAGTGCTCAGGCCCAATTTTGACTAAATTGGACCCAAACAGTATCTTTGTCTTTTCCTGGCTTTGCTTTGAGTAAGGGGTTCGAAAGATATGAACTGGACAAATTTAAGTTTTACCTCTTACCTTTCACCGTTTATATTTTCCCAAAGAACATATATGAATCAATAAGATGGGCTTTGAATTAATGATTTCTACAATCCTTAAGAATTAACTTGCCAATATAGCTAACTTCTGTAAAACTTTATTATGCTATGCACATATGACTAGGTATCTGTTGAAGATTTGAATGCAACTCCCGGATAGGCTCATGCGTTCATTGTCATACTCTATTGGTGTGTGTTACACACTTGCACATAATTTAACTCCTTGAGTAAATAAAATAGGATCTTCATTATTGGGGTGTGTTATAATAGCTGTGCAATAAATTGCGCTAGTCATGAGAAATTAAGTAAAGATGAAATACTAAATTTCTTATGTTGAAGATTGTTTTTTGTATATTAGAATGGAATGATGGCTAGTAGCTCTCTTGTGGACCTAGTTATAAGATGAGAAGTACAAATTGCTTACTCTCTCTGTAGTCTGTCCCATATATACTGCTCTGCTTTGGAAATTTGCATGGAAACTAAGGAGAGTGAAACAGTAAAAAGAAAATGGGTGGGCGGATGTGAGACCCTACTTAAGAAAAAGTTGATGAAAGCTTACTAAAAAGAGAACATATTTAATAAAATGGTACATCCAGTGATCCAGAAAGGGTAGCATGTGTAAATTAATATTTAAAGGAAGAAAGAACATGGATTTATATGTGAAAATCCTTCCCTAGCTTTTACGAGTATTTGCTTAGTTTGTTTAAGTTAATTGGTTGGGAATCTTGGGAATTGGGATTATCTTTCCAGATGTGTGGTTTTTATCTTCCCTATTGCTGACTCTTGTAATATGCACCCTAATGTCAGGTCTTGTCCAAACGCTTCCCATCTAAATTTAAAAGATGTTGATGAGAATAGATACTCTTCTGGGATTGTCAAACAAGTATCTAGAGAAAAAATCTCTCAAAGATGTCGTAGGGTATCCGTCAAGTGTTATCCTAACAAGAGTCGTGACCAAGAAAGGAAAGATGTATCTCAAGCTACCTTGATATGGAGAGCCATAAAATTACCAATTTACTCTGTCGCAGCAGTTCCTCTTACTGTAAGTTTTCTAGATGATCTATGAGCCTATATGAAATTTATAAATGTTTGTTTCTGATTATTCTTTGATCTTCTATTCTTCTTGGTAACTGATCTTTTAAGCTTTGGGAAAACACAAACTATCATAGTATGTCAGCGATATTACATATTGAATATATTCTTGCGGTTTTTTTTTTTCATAGAAACTTAAGCTAGTATTGATTCTCATAATAACTTACAGTCAAACTAAGTTAAGATGTTTGTAGATTGATCTGTATCTAGACTATCTACCTTCCCATGCTCCACTACAAAGGGAAAGAATTTTTTTAATTATTTATTTCATAACACCTCTTCTTTCTTGATTGATTTGGTTGTAGCCTTCCATCTAATTGCCATCACCCAAAATTATTATTGATCCCCAATTGCTCATAAATAGGTGGCCAGTGCTGCTGCTTACTTGCAAACAGGGCAATTTTTGGTGAGGCGTTACCTTGTGCTTCTGATATCGTCCATTTTTATCATCACGTGGCTTAATTTAAGGTTAGCTTCTCCTATATATGGAATCCCCCCCCCCCTCCCTTTTTTTTAGTTATAAGTCCGTTATCATTGAATTTAAAAGACTATGCTCATTTGCTTTTTAAATTTAATACTTATGTAAGAGACCATGAAAATACATGCCCATCAAACTACTAGGATTATATTTTGAAATGCCATTGAGGTGACTGATCTGTTTGTAAATAAACAAGTGAGTAGTGTAGGATATTTACACTTGTGCCTGCAAAAAGGTATATTTAGTATTTGTTTAATAAGCTTTTTAGGAATCCATGCATTAATGCCCGCCTAAAATTACAAGCAAAATGGAGATAGCTGAGTGGAAAACTATGCATTTGTTTATAGCTGCTATTTTCTCTATTTACTAACATTGGAGAGAGGAATACTAGAGTTATTAAAGTATGTAGAATTAAAGCCAACATATTTTGATCTTTGAATAGACTTCTATGAGTTCAAGGATCCATACCCTGTCTCTTCCTCCATCCTCCCTACCCCACCCACCTAAATAAAATTGAATAAAGAGCTTAAATGTAGGTGCGACCCTAAACTTAAACCTACACTTTATTATCTCTAAACGATTTCAATGATGGATATATTTTAGCAAATTAATTTCTTTTGATCTGAAATATAAGCTGTTCAACTATAACAATGCAACATTAAGTAGCTTTTATTAGTATCAATTGAACATCAGAGGTCTCTTCATATTTTTAATACTATATTGGATTTCACGAGGAAGAGTTAGTCTTGGAATTATATAGGGCTTCTGATTCTGTTGGCTGCAACTGAGAAATTGAATTTCTAGCTATTGGTTTTCATCTTCTCGTAAATTTGATGTTTTTCATTTTTGATTGGTCATTAGCACAGCCATTTGCTGCACATTAATTATTATTCCACAATCGAAAAATTTAATTAAAAAATTGCACTTGCCTTTTTCATTGAATTGATATCATTTGATGGGGAAGTTTATCGTTTTTATGCAAATATGTCTTGCCTTCATGAATGTTGCAACGCAGTTATGGTTTTGTTACTTTCTTGCCAGAATTTCACTTTCTCAATTTTGTTGACAAATTTCTTGGATATGCAAATTCGGCAGCAATGATGTGTATGATTTTGACACAGGAGCTGATAAAAACAAGAAAGAATCAGTTGTGAACATTGTTGGAAGGTGTGTAACTCTGTAACGACATCTTGTGCTTGTAACCTTTAAACTTGTTTGCATCTCTGTTGTTTAGCCTATTTTTATTGGCTTATGGTAGAATTAACTCTTTTTGCTTCACCATATGGTAGCCGGACAGGGACACTTGTTGCTGCCAATTTGCTACTGGCTTTCGGTTTTGCGGGTCTGATTTGGGTTGCTTCCGTGGCCGGAAATGTGCGTTCATTATTGCTATTGTTATGTGCAGTCATATGTGGCTATGTGTACCAGGTACAGGATCCTTCACTAATTACAAATATGTTTTAGAATTTTTGAGTGATAATTAGCTTGTAGCTCAACCTTTCTCTAAGATTGTCTGCTTGTATGGTCCTTAAGACCTACCCACTCCGCCAATCAGTGGGGCCCAGGCCCAACTGTTTCCATCCCAGCAATTCCTCACAATAGGACGACAGGGAGCTGTGAGGCACCCAGGTACACTACCAGGTAGTATGTGCAGTATGGAGACTAGGTTTCTATGGGATTAAGTATATAGCCTGCATTCTTTTTTTTGGCTGGAAAAAATATATATTGTCTGTGTGGGGTCTTTCATTATACCAGCCTATACTCTGCAATACCTTGCAATTATAATTGCTAGATATGGATATCAACTGACTAGAAATCTGTTAGACCTTGATGATTCCTTCACATTGCTGTTGTCATTCAGAATGCATATCAGCATGAGGACCTGTTACACATGGTAAACATGTCTGGATTCCTTAAGTACTGAATAAGAAATATTTGATATTATTACTTACTTCCTAGATGCTAATCAATTAATAAAACGTAAAAGATGCTGATCAAGATAAGCTACAGGTTCTTAGTCCATGTCCGTTTTAAGTAACTGCTGGAATATGTGGAACTTCATCTAATACTTGCTAACTTACTTCTTATTGCAGTGCCCACCTTTTCGGTTAAGTTACCAAGGATTGGGTGAGCCATTGTGCTTTGCTGCATTTGGCCCCTTTGCTACTACAGCATTCTATATGATGCAGATTACATCACGGTAAATATAACTTCCTTTGTTTTTATAGTTGACACGTATTTCTTTTTGGATAATTTCTTTTTAGTTGTCATGTTTCTTTTACGGTAAAGCTTTGTTTGTTACAATTCCTGCTTTACCTTTAATACCCCACATTTTCCATTTATCCCCACCCAATATTAAATGGGTAGAAGTAATATTGTCTTTATCCTTCTTTATCACACAATTCACACCTCCTTAATATGTGTGCCAAAATCAAGTTTGTTAACTAATAATGAATGGAGGAAGTATTTTAAAACTCACTAGCTTCATGTAAAATGGCCTGTGAGATTGAGCTGAGCAGAAAAGTCTTCTAACATCCCTAAACTCTTCTGGCAGCAACTTAAGCTACCCCTGTTCCCTAACGGGCACCATACTTTCTGCATCAATACTTGTTGGTTGCACCACCACCTTAATCTTATTCTGTAGCCATTTTCACCAGGTTGAATCTTCTTTACTTACCTTCTCTCTGAATCAATAATATAAGACTTTTAAAAGTCCTTCTATGCATTTCAGGTGGAAGGTGATAGAGCAGTTGGTAAATTTTCACCATTGGTAATTCCATTGGGATTGGACTGTCATGAACTTGTATTTTGAATTCTGGGCCTTTCGTGATGTAATAGGTGGTTGTCTGTATGCAGGTCCAAATAGGCAAGAAAGCTGGATCAGAAATCGTCAAAATTGCAATAGTGGCACTATACTGTGCCTTATTTGTTCTATCAATTGGGAAAGCTCTTCCGCTGACTAGCACTGTAAGTAAACATTTTCTATTTGGGTGCCATGAGTAGAGTTCCAGTGACATGCACGTTGCTGGTGCTTACTCCTGTTTTGCTTTAATTTCCCACTCTTCTCTTTATCCTTCCTTCTACAAATAATGCCTTATAATTGCCATCAGGTTTTGTGTGCCTTAACTGTACCAATCGGAAACATGGTTGTAAGCTACGTGGAGAAGAATTACCATGTAAGTGACAAATCAGTAAAATATTTTCATCCTCTGTTTGCTTCATTGCTCAAATTTAGCAACATATCTCTCTTTGTCCAACAAGATATGTGTCTTCAGATTTCTTCTATTCTCCCTAAAGTAGATTGAATAAACTGAGCAGTTGAATATAAGCCATTGCCAGTAAGATTCCCAATTCAAACTGAGGTTGGTGCTTATCATGAATTCCCCACTATCAGTGCAAATCACCAGCGGTGATAGGTATTTTGTATCTGCTGTCAAATGAATTTCACTATTCTTTAATTTCTTCCTTCTTTACTTGAAACTATTAAATGCCTATTTCGCTTTTTTGCATGGTGTGTTGTATTTGTGTTGCTCTACTTTGTTCTGCTAAGGGCAGTATAAGTTTTGTCTAGCATTAAAGACCAGTTATTTGTCTGCCTCTCTGCCCCTCCTCTTTCAGATCTCCCTTAACTAATGGTGTGTTACTGTGTTGTGATGGAATTTTCTGTTATGCTACTAGGCACTGATATAATTTTAAGAATAAGATAGAGCACTGTTTTTCCTTTTCATATGAGGGAGTAGGGGGCTGGGCAGGGCTTCAGTATAACGGGGATGAAAATAAATCTTGCGTCTTGTAGTTGCATTTCCTATGTCTCATATTAAGTGAGACATCTACCTCTTTGGAGCATTCTCATTCATTAAAAAAAAAGTATTTTGCGAAGTGGTACCTCCGTTTCGTATTATTTGCAACAATGTGACAGAAAGTATGAGTAGAAAATGTCCAATCGTTGCAAATTATTTGAGACAGAGGTAGTAATTTTTTGTCAAAAAAATGGCTCATCAATATTTCATCAGTTGAACTATTTCATGGCTTGATTATTCACATTTTTTTACTTTTTTAACGCATTCACATACTTTTCTTTGACCGACTTTGATGATTTATTTTAATAAAATAATAGTCTTGTGGGCTTGTTTGATTCATCTCGATTCATACTTTCATGATATTGAATTTTATATAAGATTTAGTTATCTGTAATGAATAGAAATTAGTGGTTGAACTAATGCATTGGCATGCGTGAAATGAGAAGCGTTGTATGTAAGAAGAAATGAGAAACTATATTTTAAAATTTTATTTTCTCCAAAATTAATACTTCCACTAGGTTTTTTTTTTTTACCTCAGGATAGCTGAGGTTGGAATCCAGAGGATTTAAGCTAAGTCAGAATAAGACTGAATATTTAGTATGCCGCTTTGGTACTTAGAGTGGGACAAGATATGATGGGGTGAGTTTGGACGGAAAGGACTTGACCATGAGTGAAAGTTTTAAATATCTTGGGTCGATCTTCCAGAAAAATGGTGACATTAATTAAGACGTGGCCCACAGGATTAAGTCGGGGTGGCTTAAATGGAGAGTGGCCACGGGAGTGTTATGTGATCAAAGCATTCCCTTACAGTTGAAGGAAAAATTCTACAGGATTGCCATAAAACCAATGTTGCTCTATGATAGTGAATGTTGGGCTTCTAAGAAGGAGCACGTTAAAAAGATAAAGGTTATGGAAATGCGCATGTTAAGGTGGATGTGCGGGAACACTCTAAGAGATAAGAATCAGAAATGAGGTTATTCGCAAAAAAGTAGGCGTGCCAGGTATTGCAGACAAATTAAGGAAAAATCGTCTGCGTTGGTTTGGGCATGTAAGGCGGAGACCCGAGGGTGCACCAGTATGAAGAGTGGAAGAGTGGGATCATAGAGGGGTTAAACAAGGGAGAGGGAGACCGAAAATGACTTGGTTGGAAGGAGTTAGGAAGGATATGAAGTGTATGGAGTTACATGAGGATGAGGCATTGGACCGTAAGGGATGGAGGAGGAAGATTTTCGTCGATGACTACACGGAATAATCCTTTTTGGTTCATGTAGCCGACCCCACTTATGGGTTAAGGCTTTGATTGATTGATTGAAGATAGGAATTAAGATAGGAATTAAAATTATGAAAATGCCCTTGTGAATATAAATAGAAGAAAGAGAGTTAATGTGAGGTAATAAGGGTAAATATCAAATGTGAGTAAGGGTAGGTTGAGTATTTAGTGTGAACAAAAACAAATAGTGTATGAAAACATACCCAAAATAGAAATGGTGCAATTAACATGAACTTTCTAAAAAAGAAATTGGTGCAACTATAAAAACGGAGGAGGTAGTATATGTCACCTGTGATAATTGTTTGGGAGCTTCAAATAGTCACCAATATTGACATATTCTGAAACCAAACGAAAAATTAAAATAGATTATGTAAAAGAGTGAGTGTATGAAGGGGAGGTAGATTTTTTTTTTTTTTTTTTTTTTTTTTTTTTTGGTTCATGAATTGGGTGATTATGGGAAAAATTAAAATCAGTAATTTATTTTTTATAAAAACCATGAATCAATTGATGTAGAATGGTGTGAAAGAGTTAAGAGTTTTAGAGAGTAGAGCATTTCTTATTGGCAGAGCATTTCTTATTGGTAGAGCATTTCAGACAAGTGGGTGTTGTAGGCATCAGAATTTAGGTATTCGTAAGAAAGTGGGTGTTATAGGTATTGCAGATAAATTAAGGGAAAATCGTCTGTGTTGGTTCGGGCATGTAAGACGGAGACCCGAAGGTGAACCGGTGCGAAGAGTGGAAGATTGGGACCATGGAGGGGTTAAACGAGGGAGAGGGAGACCGAAAATGACTTGGTTGGAAGGAGTTAGAAAGGATATGGAGCATATGTATTTGCATGAGAATGAGGCATTTGATAGTAAGGGATGGAGGAGGAAGATTTTTGTGGATGACTATACGGAATAATCACTTTTGGTTCATGTAGCCGACCCCACTTATGGGATTAAGGCTTTGATTGATTGATTGGTAGAGCATTTCTTAGCATGACTTTTTCTCTCAATCTATTTCATTGGGTGTTTCCCACACCCATCCACACTTATTCTCTCTCAATCTTCGTTTCATTTCTTTATGTTTTAATTACTATGGGTTAGACGGAGTAGTTGCCATTTGTAGCAGAGTTTTAAGCTCCGTTGAATTGAGACAAAGTAATATCCTGTAATTGGTACGGTCAAGAGTTAAAAGTCAATAATTTTGGCCGTGTAGTTGCTTTGCTATTTACATGTTACAGGTGTGGGATTGTTTTTTTTTTTTTTCCTTTTTTTTTAAGGATAGTTGGGTCCAGGAAGATGTAGTGCTGAACGATTAGGAGGATTGTGATTTGTGTTTTTAACCATTGAACATCTTTTAGCTTAGAGTTGTCTAGGGTGGTTGGGGAGTTTATACGTTATATGCACCTTTGATAGGTCTGTGACTTCTGTCCGATGAAGCCTTGAGATAAGATAAACCTTTAACATTATTTATGCTGGAAACTTACCAGGGGGCCATGCTAGGGTAATACTTTGTCAAACTGACAAAAGGACTGTCTAGGACTCCAGGTCCTTAATGGCGTCTAGCACTATGTATGTGTCTTGGAATGAAATTTGCTATCCAAGGTGACCTGTTCTTTTTTCTACAACTTGTACCCATGATAATCATGTTCCTAAAATATATCACCAAACCTTGTTTCAAATCTAAATCCTGTGACTTGCTTGAAAGACCCTTGAAGGCTGGTAAAAAATCTCAAATAAGAGTTGAGGGTAGATTTTAAGATTTACCCTACTTTTTTAAGTGGCCAGAGGGTAGATGATACTGATATATGACTAAAGTTGCCTTGCCCCTAGTTGACCCTTATACAAGACCTCCAAAAGGAGCAATGGTTCAAACTAAGTTGGAGCAATGGAGGCAAAATCTAGAATATCGGGGGTTTAGTCTAAAGTTGGAGCAAGACTAAGTACATGAATGTAATTTTAGCAATACGAGGAAGTCAAGTGGGGATATAGTAACATTGGATGGTAAAGAGGTGCCATCGGATGACTATAAGACCAGTGTTATCTGGGCTAGTATGTTGGCATTCAGGTATTAGGAAGATGGGAGTAGCAGAGATGCATATGTTGACATGGATGTGTGGGAAACACCTTAGAAATGAAGATATTTGGAGGAAAGTTAGAGTTGCGGATGTTAAGGATAAAATAATGGAGAACAGGTTGCGTTGGTTTGGGCATGTCAGGCTGAGATTGGAAGATGCACATGTGAGGAAAGTAGAGGGTTGGGATCAAGGGGATCTCAAAAGAAGCAGTGGGTAGACCAATTATGGCTTGGATGGAAAGAATTAAGGACATAAAGTAGTTGTGTTTGCAGGAATCTCGTATTTGGGATTAAGGCTTCAACTATTGTTGTTGTTGTTGTTGAGTTGATACCATTTGCCGACAAAGTATGCCTCTGAGATAGTATTTCTATGAGGCTCTCAAGCATGTTGAATTATTGGCTATTGGGAATGTAGATGCTCTGGTGCTAAGTTGTCCCCAAAAAGGCCCTTTTGCAAAGTTACGAATTCACATTATTGAAATATTTTTGTGGAGGTCTGTAGTAGGAGGCCTCTTAGAGGCTCGGAGCCATAGTGGCGCCCCAATGTACTTATAATTGCCTAGTCATAATTGCCCCAGTTGAAGCCTATGATCTATGCCTAAAAGACTATTTAAAATTTTGAATGTATTGGACAATAGTGCCTGAATAGATCTCCACTGAATGAATTGAGGATCTATGTGACCCTGAACACCACTGCCCTGTGACATCCATTCCTGAGTTAATTATTAGTTTTCATGAAAGCAGCCTAGCAGGAGTTGGTAATAAAAATCTGGAAAGGAACTAAAGGGAAGTTTATTTGAAATCTTTTAACCTTTTTAAATTTAACAAAGCTAACCTTGGTTAAAATAAGTTAGATTTAATTGAATGTTAACCAAAAATCACAATAAAATTTGTTTGATAAATTGTAAAAGATCAGTGCTACCAATGATTATTAGAAGCAAAAAAAAAATTGCTTCTAATGGTGAAATATAAAGGTACAAGGCTACTAATGAGAATTTCCCAAAAATATTTATAGGATACGGAGGGAACCCTATCCAATCGGTCCATAAAGTTGCACAGTTTGGTACAATGGCTACTTCTGAAGCTCTAACTATAATTCCGGCATTTTAAAAATAGCTGCAACTTTTTAAAATTATGTAAAAGTAGGTATCCTAGGCCCTCAAATAACATTTTTGGGGTTGGGGAAGGGAGGGTGGGAGGGTTCACACTAGGGTTGTCATTAATCAATACAATCCTTTCTCTTTGAAAACATTCTTTGCTCGCGGCTTTTTGGATCTTGGTATGGAATTTTTCTTGGCAATAAACTCACTCATGTGGGCTCGCCTCCTTGGGAAAAGCCTAAAACATTTTAAGTCAATTAATTACTATATTGCGATTCCAAATCACTTACCATTCCACATGACTGCTTTTCATAATTTCCAGAGCAAAGGATATGGCTTGTTCACCTCTTTTGTCATTGAGACGTTTTGTAAAATTCTTATCTACCACCCCCACTGTTTCCTCTCTGAAAGTCACGAGTAACTGTCAGAATTTTTGTGTAGAAATTATCTTAAAAGTTATGTATTTTATATATTGTATGAGACATTGAGATCTCATTAAAGATGGTAGAGCATGTGTTCTTTGTGCTAGTTTCTTTAATGGTCATTTTAAACAATAGTAGAGTATGGAACCTCAGGGTAGTTAGTTTTCATTTTCTGATACATTAACATGTTCATCAGGATAATGAAAAGATCTTCATGGCAAAATACTACTGTGTTCGATTGCATGCTTTGTTTGGAACAGCATTGGCTGCTGGGCTGGTTGCAGCCAGAAGATTTGGTATTTACACTCCAAGACTTATTTTTCTGTGATACTTTGTTGGAGTTGGCATAAGCCATAATGAGTAGATATTGTCGACTCTTTTCTGCTCATCAGTAAGAACAGATCCTTAGCTATGCTATCAGAGCAGTGGAAATTCTTCCAATGGATATTTACCGAATGTATAAGCTTCCGGCAGATGTGTAAGGTGCTTCATTCATTGCTTAATGGGCACTGGCTGAGTTGCAACTAAGGTGCCACTCTATACAGGGCATATCCTTCTATATTTCTTTATTAGGGTAATTTCTTTCAGATTTGTGTATTATAAGTATATAACGTATGCCCACTCCCTGCGATAGTTCTCATTCATTTCCATCCTCTTTACTTTGTTTGGCAGTAACTAATATTTCATTCTTTTCTCGAATTCATTTGATTCTAATGCTTTTACCGCTCCATTTAACTGTTAATCTTCTTTATTTGGTTATTTTCACAGTTTTTAATGTCAGGTTCAGCAAAGTAATCTAAGTTTTTTTTAATTAAATTTTCAGGTGCTTTCCTGTCGTTGGCGTCAACAATAATACAGGTTTTCTTTTTAATTTTACAGCACTGTGTTTGTGACTGAAAATAGGTATACCATGCAAATCAACCTAAAATTTGACCTAAGTAAAAGAAATCAATGAGTAGTTTCGCCTCAGAATAACTTGAATAGAGCTCTTTCTTGGCATATTTTCTAATGCAAAAGAACTTTTGAGGACTTTGTAACTCATGCAGAAGTATTTAGAGCACCAAAACTTCATTTCTGCTCATCAATTTATTTTTCTCGTGGTAGAACAAGTTAACACCCGGCCCAAATTATTTGTGAATCAGTTTACCATGATAAGACTCCATAATTGTTCTATAATTCATAATTTACAGAGACATGGTAATTCCTGCATTTTAAAGTGCCAATATATTCCATTTTTTTTGGCATTTTAATAAGCAAATTATGAGAAGATAAATTGCTAGATTGAATCTAATTAAACAACTGGTAAAGATAATTGCATAACTTTCATTAAAACATAGAAAGAGCTACATTGCACAAGCATATAATCTGCAAACACTTCATTGCACTTGAAAACTAAAACAACCAACTAAAGACAACAAACACTACACTGCATCAAGAAACAAACAGAAATAAAATATAAAGCCCTAGCATATAATCTGCATGGGCAATACAGAGATAGATGCAACTTTAATCAGCTGCCTCCAGAACTACCCTAGCTTTTATGGAAGATATAGGAAGATTCATGAGAGTTGCAATAGTGGTGGGTGTTTGATGCTTCATCCCCAGGCATGAGCTACTGTAGAGAAAATAGGTTCCCCTCTCCCTTGCTACTCTCGAAGCCCTTCCCCCCCTCCAAAGAAGGGTAGATCTAGAAAACTAGTTAAACTTGTCATTACCAAATCCAAACCCACTCGGATAATTAACCGGGACATTTGTGCCACTTCCTACCCCAATTTGATAAGGAGTGAAAGTCTGGAAATTACTTGGCATAGGGTCCATATCCTTCATATTCGGTGGCAAAGGAGGAAGCCCACCAAATTGACCGCCTTCCAAGGGATTCATTGGTGGCAATGGAGGGTGCCCACCAAATTGACCACCTACTATGGGATTCATTGATGGCAATGGAGGATGCCCACCAAATTGACCACCTTCCATGGGATTCATTGATGGCAAAGGAGGATGACCACCAAATTGATTGCCTTCCATGGGATATGGTGGCAAAGGTGGATGCCTATCAAATTGGCCACCTTCCATGGGATTGTTTTCCCCTAGGAAAGATGGCATAAAATTTGGGGTAGAATAACCCAATCTTATGGGGTTTGGCATCAAGGGTCCTGCATTAACATTAGCATTAGCATCAACATTAGAATTTGTATTAAGGTGATTAATGTATATGTTTGGCCCAATTGTTAATGATGGATCTGCAATTCCTCCCATGGGAGATGAGATCATCATTGTCATCTGGGAAGGGTCATTATTATGGCCATCAACCAAGTTATTTGGGACCATAAACCATCCATGAGGGTGACCCCCAAAATGGGTTGCGATAGGGTTTTGCCCTTCCACCATTTCTGGTGGAGAAGTATAGGCAGGTCCTATAATAGCCCTTGCTTGTTTAGCCCTTAGAAGACATTGATGATACTTTTTGTATGCATCATCCGTAACTTTTGCTATTGACTTTTCAATCTTTTTGAGGTCTTCAAAGCAATTAGCGTTAATTGGGCTTATCCACAAGAAATCTTCCTCCCTTCCCTTTCGTTCTTTAAGAATTTCTTCACCTCGCTTCTTCTCCAAATCAGTATGATTGTTGTTGTTGGTGATTTGCAAGTTTAAGAGACTTGGATCGTGACAAGTCCCAAAACTTCGGGCATTATTGTTAACATTGTTGAGATTAGTGTTGACCATTAAATAACGGTTGATGACAGCATCAACTGAAGGGTGGCCAAAAGAGAAGACCTTTTTTCCAGGAGAAAAAACAATGACTGCAACTTGTGCATCACACAAGGTGCATAATTCACTAGCCTTCTAAAAAGGCCAGAACGACGCTTGGAAAAAGTAACTAGGCGATTGGTAGCTTTTTCCATGCGCACCATGGGCACCTTTTGCCTTCCCTTAGTTTTTCTCTCAATCTTATTCTCAGCCATGGTGAACAAAGAAATGTAAACTGTTTTGAGGAGAAAAAAATATATGTATCTTTAAGTGTATTCTGTTGGCTTAGCTTTAGAAATGTGATGGGCTTTGGGTAGGGCACTAGTATATTTATAGGTGGACTCTCCTAATGCCTTAAAGCACCCTAAATTTACTACCATGCCTTGTCATATAATAAAAAATAATAACTTATTAATCCCTCTATTTTTTATTTTATTTTATATTTTCAATTTCAAAAGCGAGTTTTGATTGCAAATTTCTCTTTATAAACATTTATAAGAATATATTAGAATTATATTTAAATTTTCAGTCTAATAATTTTAATTTTAAGGACAGAGTTGTAAAATGGAAGAACTTAAATAATAAAGAGGGAGCTCAAATTTCATAATTTTTTTTTCCTTTTTAAAAGTTGTAGTCTTGGCCATCTTAGTCTTAGGTAATACTAAATCTCAGCCAACTCAGATTCACACTGACAAATAGTTTGGATAAACTCTTGTGACTTTTGAGATATCACTAAAATTATTTCAAAAATGTGAGATTTCATATAGGTAAAAACTCAGCTGTTTATAATGTGAACATAGATCATCTGCTAATGTGAGAGGATTCTATTACACTAGTTTTAAGGAAATAAATCCTTTCAAGAGGATTGCAAAGGGATTTTACCAACCAATTTTGCTTCTCTAGTATTTTATTACTTGCTCTACTTTTTTTTTGCGGCCTATTTTATTGCTTGCTCTATTTTCTTTTTTGAAAACTTTTAATAATATTTTATTATTTCCTTTTCACTAGTTGTCTCCTCCTATCATATTTTAGTATTTTGCATATTCTCTGTCCTCTCCACTTACACTCACTTTTGTTTTTTTTAGATTTTTTTTATTTTTCAACCAATCCCAATTCCATCATATTTTATTACTTTCAACTATTCCTCCTAAAACTCCGCACATGGAGAAATGGGAAAAGTAATAAAATACGGAGGAAATCATAAAAGAATAGTGTATATTTACTTTGAGCATTTAACTGTTCGTTGACCCCAGAAAAAAAAAAGGTTTGACAAATATCTAAACTACTACTCCCTCCGTTTTTTTTAAATGCATCACTTTTCTTTTATAGCTGTTTTTTTTTTTTTTAAAATGCATCACTTCCTTATTTGGTAATTTTATACTATATTTTATCATTAATCTCTCTTACTTTAAACCCCATTTAAATTATTTTATCATTTCTCTCTCCTTCATGGTCCCCACTTATATAATAAAATATTTAGTCTCCCTCACATTCTTTCTTTTTCATGGTCCTCATCTAAATTTTATTATAATAAATTATCCATCCACTCACAATACTATATTACTCTCTTAAAACTCCGCGAATAACCAAGTGATGCAAATAAAAAAAACGGAGGGAGTATTAAAAAAGGGCAAATTGCAGTAGTTTTTCTACGATGGTCAGTAAAACCGTCGCAAATTTAAAAGTTACGATTTTTAAAATCCACGTCAGTCTATGACACTTTTTTGCCAATTAAACCGTCATAAGATGTCAAAAATAAATGAAAATAAAATTAAAGTAGCTACGACGGCTAAAAGTTGTCGTAAAAAAAATTAATTACGGCAATTTTACAAACTGTTGTATCTTTACGTACGCTTTAAACTGTCGTAATAAAAAAAAAAGGTAAAACACAATCAATAAAGATTAGATTAGATTACAGGTAGGGGGTAGTGGTGGATTAATTATAGTTCCTCTTTTTTTTTTTTAACTTGCAATCCTTGATTCATGCACTACTCGTATATCTAGTGTAGATCTAGTGTAGGGCTGAGCAAAATTATCTGAAAAATCGAAAATTTGATTTGTAATCGAATCGAAAATTAGGGTACTCGATCTGATAACCATAATGGTTTGAGTACCTAATCCAATAAATTGTTATCGGGTATTATTTTAAAATTAACGGTTACTCGATTTGATTTGATAAGCAATTTTTTTTTTCCTACTTAATTGTATTTATCAAAAATCTAAACTCTTACTTTACTTCATAATCACTTTATAATATGAATGATTAGTAATGTTATTAATAATTTGGTCAATATCATGTGGTATTGTTGTTAATAAGAGTTGAATGATATTGTAATACATTATTAAGTTCAATTATCATTATTGGATATCATAATGGGTACCCGATAATCGATATGAAAATCTGGGTACCCGAAGTCCGGGTACCCAAATTTATCTGTTTGATTTATGGATATCATTTTTAGTGATATTGGTTATCGGTACCCGAATCATTAGTGTTAACGGTTCAGGTACCCGACTCATGCTCACCCCTAATTTAGCCTAACTTGTGATAATTCATAATTTAAGAAAAATATAGTCATGTAAGATACCCTAATTTGTACTTTTTGGACAATATATATATATTTTTTTTAACAAAAAAAATTGCTTAATGAAAATGAAAGATATTAACAATTGAATTAATACATCAATAAACGTAAAATAAGAAGTGTCGTAAGGCCCCGTTCACTTCACCTTATTTTTGTTGAACTGAAAATATTTTTACTGAACTGAAAATATTTTTGCTAAACTTAAATTATTTTTACTGAACTGAAATTAATTTTACTGAACTCAAATTATTTTTGCTGAAATGAAATTAATTTTACTGATTTTCTGTTATATTTCTTTTTTACAGTTACTGATTTTTTCCTAAACTAAAATTATTTTTACTAAGGTTTCGTTCACTTCATCTTATTTTTGTGGAACTGAAATTATTTTTGTTGAACTGAAATTACTTTTACTGAACTGAAATTATTTTTGTTGAACTGAAATTATTTTTACTAATTTGAAATTAATTTTGCTGAATTGAAATTATTTTTGCTGAACTGAAATTATTTTTACTGAATTTCGATTATATTCCTTCTTTAAAGTTACTAATTTTTATTGAACTGAAATTATTTTTACTGAACTGAAATTAATTTTCTGAATTGAAATTATTTTCACTAAACTGAACTGAAATTATTTTTACTGAATTGAACTTATTTTTACTGAATTGAAATTATTTTTACTGAATATTATTTTTTTAAGGTGAAGTGAACAAGGCCTAAACTGAATTTATTTTTACTAAACTGAACTTATTTTTTCTGAACCGAACATATGTTTGCTGAACTGAAATTATTTTTGCTAAATATTTTTTTTTTAAGGTGAAGTGAAAGGGTCTAAGTATATATAAAGAGAAGGAAAATAGTAAATTAATTATAGAATTGACAAAGAAAAAGAAGTCAAAGTCAAAGCAATAATTGAGTCTTTCCGGGTCTATAGAGATACACAACCACTAAGTGCCTCTAATAATTAAGGAAATAAATCCTTTCATTAAGATTGCAAAAAGATTTTACCAACCAAATAATGCCATGTACAGTTCACCTTAAAAAAAGAATATATAGTATAAATAATTTCAGTTCAGTAAATCAGTAACTCTTAAGAAGAAATATAATAGAGAATTAGTGAAAATAATTTTATTTCAGCAAAATTAATTTCAGTTTAGTAATAATAATTTAAGTTCAGCAAAAATAATTTAAGTTTAGCAATAATAATTTTTGTTCAGCAAAAATAAGGTGAAGTAAATGGGGCCTAACTGTAAGATAAATCAACAAAATATGGTATCAATAATAATTGAGTCATTTTTTTTTATGCAAATAATAATTGTGTCATATAATTGCTCTCAAGATCAAATTTTATATGGAGTATTTGTTTAAAAAGTTTCTATTATAGTAATTATGTATTGATCATCTATTTTTGTGTGATTAATTATGAGAGCTATGCAACACGGCAATATAATAGGATTACGTGCATAATTCCTAGTCTTGGCAGTAACACTCATAGTTTAGTACCTGAACTCAATCCATTTAAAATACTTCTTAATATTGAACAGTCAGCATATTTTTTTTATGCAAATGAGCCATTAGGGCATTAAATTACAACGGGGGGAAAGGATTTAAATATGTGACTTATCATACAATATAGTTTAATTGTTGAATAATCATATTAGGGTTGCATATCATGTGTCCGTGAGAAATATATCAACAAAATAAACTGGGTATTAATTATGATTGAGTCATATATTTTATTTTTTATGTTTTTGGAAGAAAATAATAATTGAGTCATATAATTGCTCTCAAGATCAAATTTGCATTTTGTTGGAAAAGAGAATGTGATTATGGCCTGGGTTAAGTAATTAAGGTAGCGAGTTATTTTTATTAGGTTCGTTATTTTTCAGGTCTTTTACCTTCTCTAATACAATTTTTACCAAATTACATGCCAAACAAAAGTGTGTGATCCCTTATAGAGAGTGCAGATTAACGAGAATAATGGAAGGAATAATGTTTTGGAAATGTCGATTTTCAACAACAATTTTATATTTTTATCATGATCGATAAGCTCAATATATATTTAAACACTTGACAAATTAATAGAGCAATTAAAAATGGAATACTCGTATTTTTTTACTTTACTATCCCTATGTAGCCCATATATTTTGAATTAACCACTCCTTTTATGTTTTAATCTATTTTACCACCCAAAAGAAAAGACAAAAAAAATAGATTTCATCATAGTTAACACTTTTTCGTCAATAAAGCCGTTGAACATAACTATTTTTACAAAAATCATAGATTATTTCCGTGTCAAAAACATGTTATTTAGAGGTTTTGGGGGTCAGTTTGAATCTAAGGGACTGATTAGAGGTCAAAATTGATAAAAAAAATAATATTAAAAATGTCTCTATTTGCGCACTAAAAAATACATCGATTGCGTGTATTTAAAATATTTTTTTTGTTAATTTGACTCTAACCAGATCCTATAGAACCGAAATAACCCCAAAACCTTAGCAACATAAGTATCGCGATGGAAACTAATGTGTCTTTTACAAAATAAATGGAGAGATTAATATTTACAGAATAAAGGAAAACATAGAGTATTTTGAGACTTGCACATAATTTTTTAAATAACATAAAATTTTATTTATTTTAACTGTGATACCATAACACTTTCTGAAAATAACTGCGGCTCCATAACAATAATAAAAACACATGATAATCTACTTAACGTAATAAAGACAAATGATTTTTTTATTTTTTTTTTTGGTGCAATAACTTCAAATTAAATGTGAAACAAGCGATAGATTAACTGCATCATACGTTAAATATGAAATTTAATGTATGTTTTTCCTTGAATTCCTCGGCAAATACTCCCATGCAATGCAAAGCTAGTAATAATCCTGTCGATATCCAACGAAGGCACCATCCTTTGTATCAAACACAGGATAATTAACCCCCATAAAAGGCATTGGATAAGGAGTAGGAGTAGGAGTAGGAGTTTGATTTGGAGCTTTTGCGGCGGCCTCCAACATCATGAAGCTATTACCTTGTTGGATAACATGCTTCTTAAGCTCTTCTAAGGATGCTTTGAAACGCTCCAAATGCTCCAATGAAAGCTCCTCGATGGGAAGATCCAGCATGGTCTCGGTCATCTCTTCGTTTCTCTTCTTTTCCATCTCCATTTGACGATTGATTAAGGTGAGTTCAAGGTTGAGGTCGCAGACACCAGCACTACGATGGATCCCAACCCCAAGGGGCGGTTTGATGTCCTGATTAGAGGATGATGAGGATGGAGAAAATTTTGAAAAGTAATAGTGATTGGCTACTGTCTCCACCGAAGGGTGGCCAAAAGAAAAGGCCTTTTTCCCTGGTGAGAAGACGATAATTGCAGCATCTACACCACATAAGGTGCACAGCTCACTAGCCTTTTTAAAAAGGCCACAGCGGCGTTTGGAGAAGGTAACTTGTCGATTGCTATCCTTCTCCATTCGCTCCATTTTGATCTTTTGGCGGCCTCTAGTTTTTTTCGGAGGAGTAGGCTGAGAAGCCATAGCAAAAAGAAGGAAATCGCCAGAAGAAAGAAAAAAAAAAAAAAAAAAAAAGTTGATAACGAGTGAAGAGGTTGATGGATGAAGAAATGAGAGCTCAAGGTGGGGGTATAAAAAGAATGGAAGATTGTGTACACAAGGGCATATCAATATGATTTGTTTCCATATTTGTTTTATACGGAGTATATCGATAATTACTAAAATTAGTACTTTCTTCATTCTTTTAATATTGCAACGTTTGTTCTTTAAACACTATTCCGTATTTACACTTTTTACCGTTACATAATCAAAGAAATTAAAGTTTTAAATTTTACTTTGGAAATTCTCTTAAGCAGTATTATTAAAAGAGTAGTAAAACTATATTTTCATATCTAATTTTATAAAGGATGGTCTAACAAATATTAAATTTTAATTAAGGTCAGGTCTTAGTTAACAATTTAAAGGACGGTCTAACAAATAATACAATGGAACTTATATTTATGTTTTTAAAATTTTGATTAATTAGATTAAATCCATTAAAATTAATGTTTTGTTCTCTTTCCCTTGTTTTTATTACTTATTCTAATTAAATTCGGATTAATTAGATTAGCTCAAATAAAAAAATAAAATAAATAAAAAAAAAAGCCTAAACTAGGTCATATTTTCTTTATTTCATTTGCTTCTTGCCATGTATCTTGAATTTTGCATTTCTAAATGTTATGAAAATTGAATATTTGAAAAATAAACGTTGTGAAAACATGATTTCATTTGATAATGTTTTCTTTTTCTTATACTTTGATATACAATTAAGGTCAAAGTTTAGTCAAATTAGATACTCGTACGTAATTAGACTATATTAGATCAGACTTTAGAAAATTCAAACCAGATACCTTGTTCGAGCAAAGAGAACAAAACCTAAATCACATTGTATTTAAGTTTATATCAGCTTAATATATTATCTTCGTTCCATATAACAGTCTCATTTGCTTTTTGCATGATTTTATTTTTAGAAAGGTAAATATATAATAATAAAATAGTGAGCTAGGTAAAGGTAAGCATAAAAACAAGATAGAGCGGGTTATTTAGTTTAAGAAAAGTGAATGACAAAAAAAAAAAAAAAAAAAAAAAAAAAAAAACGAAATTGGTTATTTAAAAGAAAATAAATAGAAAGGGGTGAAGTTATCAAGGGCGATTAAATAAAATAGGTTAAGACCACAACCCTTGAAATTAATTTTTACATCATTTTCCTTGCTTATATAACAACGTACAATAAAAGAAATTAAAAAAAAAAAAAAAAAAAAAAGGTGCAAATGCAACAAAAAAAAAATATAGAAATTATTTCTTCTAATTTTTAATGATGGTTAAAATAATGTCATTTTATTTTGGCCTTGTTTTCATTATTTTTAAAATTGATATGCTATTTAATAAAAAAAAAATTAGCCAATTAAATTATTTTGAATCAATTCAATTTTATTTAAAAAGTATTTCAAATATATAAAAATAAGTTACCTCATCTAACAAATACAACAATTAGTACAACCGTATTAAGAACTATACCGTGATAAACAAAACTTAGTTTTAGTTCAACAGATAAATCAATTAATTAGTTTTATGAAAAAAAATCAATAAAGCCTTATTCTCTTCGCCTTAAAAGATAATATTCAATAAAATTATTTTGGTTTAGTAAAAATTATTTCTTTGGTAAAAATAAGTTTAATTTAATAAAAATAATTTCAGTTTAATAATAATAATTTTTAATCAGTAAAATTAAAGAAAAATAAAATAGAAAATTAGTGATAATATGTTTAATCACTAAAAATAATTTCAATTCAAGAAAAAAATAAGGTGAAAAGAACGAGACCTAGTAAAATTCATTTTCAATCCTAGGTCTTGCCAAATGTGAAATTTTATCCAACTAAGCTATCTCTAGCTGGCATCCTTATGTGTTGTCTGGGATTCAAAGTCACAATTGATTCGATTATTTTATGATTTGATACATAATAAGGAAAGATATTATTGTCATTTTGATGAATAAAGTAAAACATATGGATTTGAACCATGTGTTCATTGTAAAAAAACAATTATGATCTTCATATAAGGAAGAAAATAATGTTATAATGATAATTAAAATTTTAGAAATTAAATTTGAAACATGAATTATTGTTCAATATGATTTCTGGCAAATTATTATAGCACAAATTATTAGAACAACACATCAACACCTTTATTATGCATAATTTAGGTCATATTCTCTTCACCGTACGTATTTTTGCTGACTTGAAATTATTCTTATTGATTAAAACTTATTCTTACTAATTTACTATTATATTTTTGTTTAAAGTTACTAATTTATTAAAGAAAAATAAAATAGAAAATTAGTGAAAAATATGTTTTAATCACTAAAAATAATTTCAATTCAAGAAAAATAAGGTGAAAAGAACAAGACCTAGTAAAATTCATTTTCAATCCTAGGTCTTGCCGAATGTGAAATTTTATCCAACTAAGCTATCTCTAGCTGGCATCCTTATGTGCTGTCTGATCATGATTCACAGTCACAATTGATTCGAATATTTTATGATTTGATACATAATAAGGAAAGATATTATTATTGTCATTTTGATGAATAAAGTAAAACATATGGATTTGAACCATGTGTTCATTCTAAAAAAAAATTATGATCTTCATATGAGGAAGAAAATAATGTTATAATGATAATTAAAATTTTAGAAATTAAATTTGAAACATGCATTATTGTTCAATATGATTTCTGGCAAATTATTATAGCACAAATTATATATTAGAACAACACATTAGCACCTTTATTGTGCATAATTTAGGTCATATTCTCTTCACCGTATTTTTGCTGACTTGAAATTATTCTTATTGATTAAAACTTATTCTTACTGATTTACTGTTATATTTTTGTTTAAAATTACTAATTTTTACTGATTAAAAATTATATTAACTAAACTGAAATTATTTTTGCTAAAGTGAACTTAATTTTATGAAATGAAGTTGAATTTACAAAATATTATTAATTTATGGTGAAACATTGACGGACTTAATATTTCATTATTTCATTACACCATTGACGGACTTAACATTTAATTATACCCTTAAAAGTTACAATTAATCTGGAATATTATTAATTCAAAGTTACAATTGATCTGAATTTGATTTTACAAAATATTATTAATTTTTTTGTCACAATTTGTAGACTAAATTAAGAGTTACGGGGCAGGGACGGCGACCAACAACAGGAGAGCACTCCCGCCTGGGGAAGAAGGTCCCCATGAGCACTCAAAAAGGTTGTTGGGCGGCCGGAAGGTTGCCTGATCTGGATTATTATTATTCATACTCAATGATTTCATATCACAACTTACAGACTAAATTCAAAGTTACAATTAATCTGAAATATCATGATCGTTCATACAAGGAGAAAACCCTCTTATATTATTGACTATTGTTTAATAGAATAAGAATTAGCGCCTAGACTAAATTCAAAGTTACAATTGATCTGTAATATTATGATCTTCCTTATACTCAATTTTTTACAATTTGTAGCCTGATTCATAAATACAGTCAACTTGAAATATGGTGATTATTCATATAAGGAAAAATTCCTCTTATATTATAATTGACTAAGATAAGCGCCCAATTGATTATTTAAACAATATATTGAGCATATTTGTTCATAAAAGCAATATATATATATATATATATATATATATATATATATATATATATATATATATATATTTATATTTATATTATTTAAACTACTGACGGACTTAATATTTCATTATATTTGTAAAAGTAAAACATACATAGTATTAATAACAATATGAATTCTCACTACCTCATCCAATTCTTTATTAATTTATGCATAGAAAGTTTAGACCATTTTGAATTCTTATAAATTTCACATATAAATTCCTCTATGAAATGAACATAGCAAGTCAATGAAGTAAGTATGACACTCCCCTCCCTTCCCCTACCCACGAAACCACCCATATTTTGGGGGTGGGGGGAGGGGAGTGCATTTTCAGGGGTGGAGGAAGGGAAATGAGTCGTTTTTGGGGATGGGGAGAAGGGGGGGGGGGGGTTTCAATGGTTTGGGGTTGGGGAGGGGGTGGGGCGGATGAGGGGAGGCTACCAATGTGGTGGTTGGTGATTTTTTATTTTTTTTTCCATCAATCACATGTTGATACGTGGCAAATATATACTTCATATTTTAAAAAAATTTAAACCTTTTATCATGTTATCGATTTTTGGGACTGAAAAAAGAACATACATCTAAAAGAAAATTGACAAAAATTGGGATTAATTAAATGAATTTTTCCAATTACATACAATTAAGGCCAATTTCACTTTTGCTACCACCAAAAGGCATGCATCTCAGTTTTGCTACCCCTCCAAATTTTTTTTTTATTTTGCTACCACACAAAAACACATTGTTAAAATTTGCTACCACTTAACGGAATGGGTTAGGATTCTGTTAAGTTTATTAAAAAAAAAAAAACAAAACCACCACCCTCAACTGCCACCCTCCCCCCTCCCTTTCCTCCACCTTTGCAGCCCACCACCCTCAACAGCCCAGCCAGCCCCCTCCCGTTAGCCCCCCTGCCGGCGGCCGGCAACCCCACCCTAATCCTTTCCCCCACCAACGCAATCCACCCCCCCTCCCTTATTCCTTTCTCGCTGCCTTAACCCCCACTCTGAAACCAGAAAACAACCCTCCCTCCCCATCCCCCCCACCGGAATCGGCCCCTCTTCCCTTCCCTTATGGTGGTTTAGGGGTGGTGTTTATGGGTTAGGGGTGCCGGTTTTTAGGTGGGGGAACGGGAGGTGGGGTCGATTCAGGGTGGGGGAAGAGGAGGGGGGCCGATTCCGGTGGGGGGGATGGGGAGGGAGGGTTGTTTCCCGGTTTCAGGGTGGGGGTTGGGGCAGCAAGAAAAGGATAAGGGAGGGGGGTGGGTTGCGTTGGTGGGGGAAAGGGATTGGGGTGGGGTCGCCGGCACCGGCCAAAGCATTGAGCGCCGGTCGCCGGCAGGGGGGAGGGGGAAGGGGGCAGTTGAGGGTGGCTGGTTTTTTTTTTTTTAAAACATTTTAATTTTTTTTTTTTTTGAATAAACTTTGATTTAACAACTGTGATTTAGGTGGTAGTAAAATAAAAAAATTAAGGGGTAGCAAAACTGAGATGCATGCCTTTTAGTGGTAGCAAAAGTGAAATTGTCCTACAATTAACAAAAATTATAAAAATCTGATATTGTAAAACTACACATCGAGATAAATATAACAATATCCCATATGACTATATAATAATGTTAGTTTTTCATCAAAGTTTTAAAAATTTGACTATAAAAAAAATCAAAATAAGATTATTATCAATATGAAATGAACATAGTACAAAGAAGTCAAAAGCTAATGTTAAGCCCCGTTCACTTCAACTTATTTATGTTGAACTGAAATTATTTTTACTGAAC